GTAAGCAGGGAATTTGTCTTTAGTTGTGTTTCTCCTTATTTTCCTGCAGAATATGTTGGAGTATGGGGAAAACAAGCATGAATATGTAGAAGGAAAAGTGTGCATTCAACATGGCCTTGCTTATGAACACGAGATGCAAGACACTGGACTAAAGGACAAGGAAGTAATGTTATACATTCAAGGAGGTTATCTGCCTTGCATAGCAGAACTGTATTTTTTCAGATTTCCTTTTAGCTCCTTGAAATTAAATAACAATGCTAAGAACATACACAAACAATAATAAAAACAAAAACAGAACAGCAAGAAATACAAAAACAGCTAACCATGATCTTCCTTCTAGTTATATTTCATTGGTATATCTCAGAACATTTGAAAATATATGTTTAAACATCTTGATTCTTAAAAATGATTACAGGTGTAGGAAAGCCATGAAACTTTAAGATTTAGAAAAAACTGATGAACATCACTTAGCAATAACAGTATTTTAGAGATATAAGGTGTCTTCTCTAAACAAATATCTAAGTAAGCAAAAACATCTTGGTTTCCATGATCATATCAACGTATCAAGGCATGTTTCCTGTCTGTTAAAAAAAAAATTTGTGGTGCTGGGCACTGAACATAGGGCCTGGAAATGCTGGGCACACAGTCCACCACTGAGCCACATCCCCAGCCCAAATTTGTGATAAATTATTACATTTAACTTCTCTCTCCACTTAAACCTTTTTAGTTTTGTGAGTTCTTAACATTTACTGTACTTGAAAGAAGTAGTGAGGTCCTGGGCAGATAAGACTTCTCTCTTTATTACTTTGTTCAAGAAGTCAGAATAAAAATGGGTCAGTTTTTAAGGAAACAATGGCTGCATATATAAATAATGTAAAAATACCTATCTTTATCTTGGGGAGGACATTTATCACATAGATAGCTGTAGACACCTAGAATGTGGTACTCCACTTACAGTTCTCAAATTTTGAGTTGTCTCTTGGAAATGTAATATTATCAGTTAAAAATCACCAGGGAACCCTGGCAATGATTTAACTTGTTTGACTTTCTTAAGCTAACAATTAACATGAAGACTGTTGTTGACAAAATATTTAACTTTCTCATGCTATTTGTGTAAACAACTTTTTTAATATTCTTAAGACACTCTGGGAGGACATGCCTTTTGAAAGTTTCTCAAGTCTACGCAACAAGCCTGTAAAGGACACACATTAAAATACACTCAAGACTTTTGTAGCATTGCAATTTAAGTAGGGTTTCCTGGGACTTCAGAAGCACCTAGCATACTCCACTATCTCAGTCTTGACAGCCCTAAATGTAAAATACCAATTCCTCTATTTACAAAAAGAGCTATTTCATCATTTCAAACAGACACCTGAAAGCTGAGTATACCTTAAATCTCTGGAAAAACTGTTATTAGTATTCATTGTTTAGTTGTTTATTATTAATAATGCTAGTAGTGATACCCTGTATTTCTGCAGTGCCGTAAGTCTTCCAAACCTTGTTCAGTAACACACACATATTCATTTGCTTTACTCAACAACCTAGCGTAGCATTACAGTTCTATTTTATAGGTGACTGCTAGGTGATTTGTCCTAGGTCACCTAGCTGCTTAGTGATCAAGCAAGCACTAAATGAGGGGATACAGGCTCCTTGTTTGATCTGCTTTCTTTCTTCCACACTCCATTAGAGAAAAGATAATCTGAGGCCAAAGATGGCTAGGAACCACTTATCTACTCATCCTAGCAACACAATCTATGCAGAAGAAAATGAGCTTGTCTCAGGCACAAGAGAAAGATTAATAATGTACCATAGAAGTTCTAACTTTACTGTTCCATGGACCAGCAATTATTTAGTTTCACAGTTCATTCAAAGATTCAAACATATTTCATCAGAAAATGATTTCGTGCCTAAAATCTGGCGAAGTGGTTAGAAATGTAGGTCTGCTCAGAGCTCTACAGTGTCAAAGCTTCTGAAAGGCTGTGTTCCTGCAATCTCTGCAGCAGTGGGGCTTCCCCTGAACTTGCACTTGAGCTAAATGAAGAAACTGGCTGAGTAAGGACTGCAGAATTAGGCTTTCAAAGTGGACAGAATTAGAACTGGCCTAGAGGTTATTCTTGCATTGTTCTTGAAATTTACGCTATTGAAAAAATTCAAATACAGTGTATTCTGTGCAGTGGAACACCCCTCTAAGTCAACACAATGCCCCCTGAAAGAAGTTGTTCTTTCTTTTTTTTACCTCTAGAATCTCCTTCATTCAACAAATACTATTCACTATATACAAGTACCATACTAGAAGGTATATGGGAGCTTTTTGTCTGAAGAACAGCACATATGTGATTTTAGATGATCATTACTCTTCCCTTTGCTCCAAAGGACATCTATGGGCACTTTCAGCATACAAATTAACCATTAAAGTGATGCATTCAACATATGCAGACCACATAAATCTGGTTATGGACATACCAGCAATAAAATTAAGAAAGAATTCTGACACCTTGTCTGAGCAAAGACTCTTTTATATGAACAGTGTCCCTGCTAATGAAAGGAGCTTGGTAAAATGAGTCCTGGCAATGCTAAGGGTGTGGTGAATCACTCCTAGATGCCCAGGCCTCTCTTTGGACACAGTGTTATCAGGTTAACACAGCACTTACATCACCACCTCTGAAAATCATACCAAGTAACAGCCAGATTTCAAAGCCAAAATGAAGAGGGAATTTCCAATAACCAAATGGGGTCGATCAATCCTTAAGACCTCATACATTTGTAGTGAAGGACAACCATTAGAAATAAAGTATCCTTGTCTTCCTAAGTTGCATCAAACCTTCCCACATCATTACTATACTCAGGGAGCTTTTCCAAAGGAAAATTTTAGGAGATGGTTGGTGGGTAGAAGGGAGAAAGGAGACTCCTTCTGAGGCCAGGAGTGGCAGAACAGGCATCCTTTGGTTTCTATCCTTATATAGTTTGAGTGCAGCAAGGCCACTATTTCCTCACTACCCTGACAGCATGGTATTATGATTATAAAGTCACAATAACCACTGAAGTTGGTTTAATTTCTCATCCCAAAACACTAGAAAAAGAGACATTCTCATGCTACTTCCAAATTGAACAAAAGAAACAATCTAAAATACAAGTCCATAGGTGGACACACCACTCTTCTGGCAGAGACTTAACTATGAAGGCCCTAGGAAAAGTCCACACTGCGACCCCTTCTGAATTCCTCCAGTCTTAGCCCCCAGGTCACAGGTCAACACTCCCTGCTCAGGGCTGAGCTGGGTGCTTTTCTCTCAGGCTCATTTGCAGAGACACTCACCAGGAGACTGAGGCACACAAAGCTGTATTCTTGGGAGACTTGCAGACAGATTATAAATTACTGGGACAATCAAGGCATTTAGTGACTTTTGGCTGCAGATACTGGTGACACACAGATACATACAAACTTCATTCTTCTCACCATTTGAGCAATTCTTTATCTTCTTCCTTCTCTTTAAAAAAAAAAAAAAAAACAGACTCCAATTGCTCTGCTAGGGAATTCCAAGGAGAAGTAGGGACGGAGCAGGTGGTAAAGGAAAGAAATTAGGCCTTGAACCTCCACTGTAACCCCACAGGGTAATTTATGTATTCAAGGATAAAACACTAAACACTGGGGAATTTAACTCTTGGAAGTTCTTTTTCCCTTGGAGCTAGGTTAGAAGATTTTGCATTCTAGGCATCATAAGCAAAATGTATGTATGGTTAGGGAAAAGAGCAGCAACCTGGTCCTCTCAGAAATGTCATTATCACAGAACTTTCCAGAAATGTCACCATCACTGAACCAAGGCAGGAATGGGGGTGTGTGGAAGACACATCCTGGGGGCTGCAGGAGGCTCAGAGCTCATTTCAGGACCTTTGGGAGGAAGAGTTTGACAGTGCCATCTTTTCCTTCAGGCTTTCTGAGTACTTTTGGGCTTTCATGGCCATTTCCTGTCTCTGTCTTTTATCAGGGGTGGTTTGTGGAAACATAGCTGTGATGAAAGCAAACTCAGAACTTCAGGAGCCCCTTGGAACTTAGAGGAAAAACCTGCAGACTACAGGGAAGAGTTGCAACCTTCTGCCCACAGGCCACTGACCTGGCAGCTTGGAGGAAGCCAGCACACAGCGGACAAACAGTCACCTGACCAGGACTGGCACCAAGAAGCAGTGATTCAATGGAGACTCCCTCTGGGTGGGGCATGTCTGTGCCTCTGAGAAAGCACTTCCAGTCAGAAACTTAACCACAACTTCTGAGTTTGATAGGGTGTCATCAGCAGCGGTTGAAGTCAAGGTACTTCCTAGGATGATATCTGAATGCCTAGTTTCTGTGCCTGCCCATTTTCAGGAAAGCTCTGAGTTAGTACTGTAGGGATATCTAGTAAATAAGCTGGATGGATCTGAGGGAGGTTGGAAATTAGAGAGCAGACATCTTAATAAATATTCTTTCAATTGTCTCTTTGGGGTATTTTCTCCAATCTTTTGATTGAGGAGACACTTTGGGCACTCGGTCTGTGTTACGAGGACTATTTGTGTTCTCTTAACCCCAGGAGAAGGGGCATTTCAAAGTGGGGAGGGGAAGAGGTAGGGGAATGGGTGAATGGCAAGGCTTTGATAAAGATCAGTTGAGCTGACAAATGCTTTCTGGCTAAAGAATGGCTAGTTGGGCCTACTCAAGGCTGGTTAGTCAAAGCAAAAGGGTACTTGAGACAGGGCCTTCCTAACCTCTTCTTTTACAAGGTGTCCACACCCCTGAGAGTCTCTGGAAACTCCCTTTTTATCAGTTAAGGAATACCCATGCATGAGCACCAGTGAATTTGATGAGTAAGAGAATAAAACCACACAGACAACACATCCAATGGCCTTTGAGGTAGTCAGAGGCATCTTGGCCTTTTCACCACCATGCATTCTTCATCAGGCCAAGACAACCTCTGACTTCACAAAAGGCCACGCCACCACAGCCAGAATCATGACAAAACCATGTGCCTTACCGCAATCAGGGCTGAGTTCCTCTGGTCTCCTGGAGTTGAGGTTGGCTGCTGCTGCTCTCCATTTATCCCACCACTGCCACCATTATTGCTACTGCTCAGCAGATGCTGCTGGTGGTGGTGGTGATGATAGTCTGGTGGGGGCGGTGGGGCTGCTGTTGCTGCTGCTTGGGAGACCGAGGCAGGGGCGGCAGGCGGCGGTGGAGGGGCGGTGGTGGTGGGAGCAGTGCTGGTGGCCTTGGTGTGCTTGCCAGCTTTCCTTGCCCCCTGGCCGTGCTGTACAAGGCTCAGGAGCTGCAAGGTGCTCTCCCTTTCACGGTCTGAGCTCTCGGCCCTACCACGTTCATAGCGTCCTTCGCAGCTCAGGTGGTGCTGGCGGCAGACGGCAATCCGAGCCCTCAGGCGCTCCACGATAGCACTGTGCACTCTAGGGGTGACTGAGCCCCCTCCAAGGAGCCCCGCCCCAGAGGCCCCCCCCAGACCTCCTGCAGAGGCCTGCGGGGGCGCTGTGTCCCCCATCCTACTGGACAGGATGATTGCTGCCTCTGGGATGAGTTGGAGAGAGGCTACTGCTGGCTATGGCAGGCAAATCTGAACTCGGTGTTCAGGGACACATGAATAGAGGTCTTCAGAGGTTGAGGGGAGCAGTGCTGAAGGTGTGGGGGAGGGGAGTTAGTAAAGTAAAGGGTGGGGAGAAAGAATAGACACCAATTGGAGAGGATAAGTTGGAAACAAACCCTGATCAACTTAGTCTAATTGCATTTGACAGCTCTGGAGAAGTTGGATAGAGTTGGTGGATTTTTTTTCCCCCAACAAGCTAAGAGCCACTAGGCACTTTGTAAACACATGATCTGGGGGTTAGTTCAAGAATTCAGGGATTGCCAAGCAAGAGGCAGAAATACACGGCAAAAGGAATTGAGAGAGGTATTAACAGAGCGCTGGACTCCCCCTCACCTAATTATTTCAGAAGATTCTTTGTGGGGATATTTCTGTAGAGAAGCATTTCTACCACGATCTATATAACCAGCAGCCTTTAGTTTCTCTCAGGTTAAAAACAAAACAAAACAACCCATAAAACAAAACAAAACAAAAAACTCAGTGCTGTTCCAAAACGTTTTGGAGTCAATATTCGAACTGTACAAAAATCAAGGGTGACTGTCTTTTGGCTGTTGATTTTTTTCCCTTTCCTTTTGCTCCGGTGTTTTCTCCTCCTGGGGGTACTGTAGGATGTTGTCTTCCCCAAGAGGAGACAGCTTTTCAATCGTTAACAATGTCAGTAACTGGACTTTGGGACCATGCTTTTTCCTTCAGCTAATCCAATCACCGGTAAAATCCTCATTCTCTCTAAGGTTTCCTAGCCTTAGGAAAGCAATCTGAGTGGCTAGGCTCTGAGAGAGATCCTCCAGCACATTTTTTTCTTTCCCGCTTACGTTTCTATTCCTCACCCCCTGGCTCTTTTCTAATACAGTATCAAGCGAGACAAACTCTTCCGAGAGTAATTTACAAACGATGGTCAAACTTACAAACTTCCAGCAAATTGCACCGAGTCATGTCCAGCCACTTTCCTGTCCACTTTTGTACATTCCATCCCCGGCCAGTGGATCTCAGGGTCTGGACTCGCAATAAGCAACGTGATTCTATGGCTTGTATTGCTCCGCTTTACAGATGAAAAAAAAAGTAGCTTGTATTTTCCTTTCTCTTTCTCCTCTGTTGCGGCTTGCTGACACTGGCTCCCGCCCGGAGTCACGGCGATACACAGGCTTTCATTGTGCTCCGATAGGAGAGGGAGAGAAAGAGAGAGAGTGAGACAGAGAGGGAGAAAGAGAGCCAGCGAGCTGCAGATGGGGGGGGGGGGGGGCGGGGAGGGCGGGAGAGCTCGCTCGAGGCTCCCTGGTGGAAGGCTGGTGCCACTGCTCGAGTGAGTAATCGCAGCCAGGCCCGGGAAAGGGGAACGCAGAGGGCCTCCCAGCGGCTGAAGAGGTAAATCCCGGAGCCTGCAGGCTCAGGGGCTCTCAGCTGAGCTGGGCTGCGGACTTGGCCAGGCGGGGAGGAGTGGGGAAATTCCCCAACGTCTATGCAACTATTTCACCAGTTCTAAATGTTTAAGAAATTCCCAGCCAGGGAATGTATTTTCCCTTTCAGACCTACATGATGCCCACCCCCAAGACATCGTTTTCATTTTTCAATATGCTGTAAATGACACCACTGAACACTCTAGAGAGAGCTGGGTGAGCGCCAAGGAAATGTTCATCAGTATGGTAAAGAAACTGAACATTACGTGTTTGGGATAAACGTGGAGAGAAGGGAAAATCATTGTTATTTCCTAGAGGTCAGGCAGGTATTATCTGCCTATCTACATGTCTCACTCTTGATAAGTCATCGTGGGTGGTCATAAGCAAATCAGCTAGGGTAAATATTGTATGAGGGTGATGAAATCATCAATACTGGTTTTAGAAGAAAGGGGTTTTCTTAAAACAATTCGATTGCTCATGATGAACAACGATGTGAATTATCCATAGTTATCTGGCTTACATATACAGTACAAAGAAAATCAGAAGGTACCAGATGAGTTCCAAATTTAATAACACAAACCGAGGGGAACTTTACAAAGAACCTTGTCCCCTCATCTTCCGATGACCCTGTCTTTAAAGTATCAAACTAGTGTATTCTGTTTGTTATGATCAATTATGGAGAAAAATACTGGAATATCTAATAATTGTGTGTGAACACAATATTGGAAGACAGGACCAAAAATAACTTGGCTGTCCTAATTTGTAAGTCATCTTTGGATATGCAGTCTTAAGCAATGAAGCTTCATTAATCTAAGCCAATTCTGGAATTTCAGTAACATGATCCTGCTTCAAACAGGAGTATGGAAAGAAATGAAAGGGTAAAATCAATGCAAACACTTCAAGACTAGATTTATTCATAGTTCCCCATAGGCTGGTCTACTGTAACACATTTTATTTTCCTAATCTTGGAATATTGGGTTGGAAATGGGGACAAGTACATTCTGTGGAATGCAGTTTGAGTATCCCTTACTCAAAATGCCCAAAGCGTCAGATTTTGAAGTTTCTCAGATTTTGGAATATATGCCCAGACTACCACCAACTCTTTCATCCATCATGCTGGTCCTCACAAATTCTGAATATTAGTTTTTCAGATTTTATATTTTTGGATTAGGACTAATCAGCCTCTGTAGCTTTTTCAGTACTGGGATTGAACACACTTTGCACTGAACTACATCCCAGTACCTTTTATTTTCTGGGATAAGTTCTTGCCAAGTTGCTAAGTTGCTCAGGCTAGCCTCAAACTTGCAACCCTCCTGTCTCAGCCTCAATCTTTAAACTTTTCTTTGAAACATATTTCTATCTGCCCCTTTTAAGTTCTTCACTACTTATGTGAGGAAAGGTAGAAATATATCTGCTAAGTAAGAAATATTTGATAAGAAAGATGTGGTACTTTTATATAATGGAGTTCTACTCACCTGTAAAGAAGGATCACATTGAGGCTTTTACAGGTAAGTGGATGCAACTTAAGACCATACTCATAAGTGAAATAAATCAAACTCACATGTATAAACACCATATTGTCTCCCTAAGAAATTGTAAGAGTAATTAAGATACAAAATGTTCAATAAATATTGTGAAAGGATAAGAATCTGCTCAAAGGGGAAAAAACAACTCAGGGAAAAGGAGGAAAAAAAAGGAAAAAATTTAAATTTATATAAACACAATTAAGATAGCTAGATGATTGTGCTACTAACTCTATTAGTTCTGGGAACAAAATAGTTAACATTCATAGGATCGGATCAATTTTGCACATTTATATCTGGTAATCTGAGGAACTCTTTTGAAGATTACTATGTAAAATAACTGTATTTTCTTACCACCTTGTTTTGAAAGCCTCTATTGTCATTGTTTTGAGCTCTTCGTTATTTTTTGTTTTTCTAGTAGTTTGTTTTTCCCTCTAATACAGGAAGGATAGATGTACATGTAGAGGCTTACACACGCCTAGAACTTCTCTAAAACAGTTTGCGAGAATTGATGTATTATGTGTGATGAAGAAGCTACTTTGAAGAAAAAGACACATTATGGAAGCTGTGAAGTCCAGTAATGCTTTTATTCTTTTAGGTTGGTTTTAGTCTGTTTTGTATTGCTTAATTTCAACATACATGAAGGTATGGACAGCTATTTTGAAGAGAACAAGAGACATCATGGCAGCCACTGTTAATTTTCCTATTGTCTGGTTTTAACAGCCTGTAATGCTTTCATTTTTGTTTTGATAAGTTTGATACAATTCTGTTTTGTTTGAATTCATTGCATGTGAAGATATAGACAGCTATTTAGAAGAAAACAAGAGACATTATGATAGCCACTGTTGATCTCCTGTTGTCTTGCAGAATACACTAGTTGCTTGCTGTCACTTGTATTGTTTTCTTCTGATCTGCTTTTACTTTCTTTAAAATAAAAAAATAAAATTTGGAGAATGTTGTCATAAAGAGTTACTAAAAAGCAAGGAGTTTTGACTATTTCATATTTGATTTTTAAGAAGTTGTATTCAATAGACACTATCTTCTTTCTACTACTAAGGTATCTTACATTTAGCAATCATATTGATAAAAGAAAAAAATCAGTATTTAATGGTAAACTGCAGTTTATTTCTCTGTAATACATTTGATTAATAAATCTTATTAAATCAGTTACCCCTAAATATACAAATAAAAATAAATTTATAGCAAAATGACATTGGAATATAAAATTATATATATTTGAGGTATGTGATGATTAAAAACATATATACATTGTGATAAATCTTGATTTCTGGGCTATACATGGGTATATCTTAAGGTGTGGGTAACTCTGGAGTGCATTTTTTTATGGAGTGTCTTTCATACACATTTACTCATACACCTCAGCCATTTCAAGGTGACATTATCAACTGCCATCCTTATTTCTGTTCACATCATATGCTACTTATTTTAAAAAGTCACTTGCCCAGGTGCAAAACATATATGATTATCCTTAATCCACAATCTGGAGAGATGGGATATTGTAAACCTCATCCATGAGGAAATTTAAGTTTATCAAAATTAAACTATTTGTGCTCCAATTCATATTACTAAGAAGTATCAGACAAGGGCTTCCAATTCGGCTTAGTGCCTTAGTGTTAAGTGTGAAAGGAATTAAAGAGACACCAAACTATCCCATACGTAGCTCAACTACTATCCTCGGTCAGCACCCTGGAGTCTAAGGAGCCCTGTAATACCCACAAGGAGTGAGCAGTGGATGGAAATACTCACCTGGATGAGGGAGGAGACCATTAAGGAAATGCTGTATGGTGAATTCATTCAACTGCCTATGAAATAAATATTTCTTTCTTCCTCATTTTATAGCATCTGCATAACTCAATGAATTCTTTCAAGCATAACTTTTATTTTTTTATCTTCCTCATGGCCTCAGTTACACATAGCTACCTAACACTAAAGTAACATCATAGTAATAAATGCCCAGATCCAAAAAATTCACTCATGCAAGATTTATAAGCTTACAAACTATTTTTTAGTGTTATAATTGGATCAATGATACCAAAGATGGTGTTAAAATCATACAAACAATACCAGTAAAGGTTAATACTATTTTTCAACATTTTCATTTTCTTATAAACTACTTGCACTGATGGCCTAACCCAAGACAACTTTTACTTCTTAGCAATCTGTGTCTGTCACTCTTTTGGTGTTACCAGAATCCTAAAAAAGCCTCTTATATCTTCCAAACAGCCACTGAAACAGTATGCTTGGTTGCAATAACCTGACTTAGAAAAACTATCTCTAAGCATTTAGTTATCAACAATCACTATTCTAATTGGAAAAGTGTGTCAGATCAACAAAGTGCTTGACCTAGGAACTGGATCAGCTATTATCGTAAGTTCCTGGAGTTATTAGTGCCTTACTCTTATAAACTAATGATTTTCATTAAAATACTAAGTACATTTTAACGAATTTCCAATTGAAACTCTCCCTCTTCAGCTATCTCAAGCTTGCCTGCTGCATCACATGTGACAAGTGATGTGACCATGGTCACCAGAGATACTTTAGAGAGCATTATCTTTCATTTTATTTTGCTTATTTGTACAGTTGCCTAAAATAAGGAATATATTCATTGTGAGGAGTTCCTTTTTACAAGTCATTTGTCATCTTTCACCTTTCTACCCTAATTACAAGTACTCTTCTAAATCTGCTTTCCTTTTTGGGGGGTATGGTCCCTTCATCTTTACCATTTAACTATGACTTCATTTCTATTCTCTGGAATTTAGTTAAATATTCTTTCTTTCTTTGCCAGAAATATGTGACATATGTGCCAAAAATCTTATTTCACATTTTTGAAAAATGTATGCATTTCTCATTAAACATGAGCAATCTCACCATGTGTTTTTTCCTGTCCAGCTTTAAAAATTAATAACTGCAGGAAATAAACTTCAGGAATTAGCAAATGTCTACTTAAGGACTTCAGTAAGTGCAGCTTCTTACATGTATATAAACACTAAGGCTCATACCATGAATCACATAATAGAAGCCAAGTTCAACCAACACTTCCAGTAATAAAAGTTTCTCAAATTTCACAGCAGAATATATCCTACTAGAATATTACTTTTAAGAATTAAAGATATAGAATGGGGGAGGGCATTTGTTTATTTTGTAACACTTTATTGTATTATGGGAAATTCTAGATGTGTAAGCAATGCAGATACCAAAATACAGTTTTTAAAATGTTTGGGGCTGGTTTGCCTCTGAGATCTTCAGACTTTAACATATACAGATGTGGTAAAAGTTATGAATAAAAAAACATATGTCAATCAACATATAGTATAAAGTGAATAGAAAAACAAAGAATATTATAAAGTATGAAATATATAGCATGAAATTTTTCTTGCATGTGAGGGTGAAAAGACTGGAGATGTGAAATCTTTTTACAAAGAAACTTTTGAAAAGAAATGAAGCACTCCTCAACTCAGAATAGATAAACTAGGTCCGGCTCTGAGATACGGCGACTGAGCTGAAGGATACACTAAAGTTTATTCTGTGGCTCACTGATCTGTGATGATAGTAGTCCAACATAATTAATGAAGATCTTTAATACTACCAGAGGTAATAAACATACCTGAAGAGAGACTAATAATAAATATATATAGCTATTCTTTAAATACAGTTTAAAAATACAATGTTTTGCATAAAATGATAGACATGAATAGTTCATTTAGTTGATAGTCATCTATTAAAGACACTGATAACTTTAAAATACATTTATAGACTTAAAAACTGTTAAAACTTTCATCTTTAAATATAACTTTTATTAGATTATAGTGTTGATTCATGGCAATATAGATGAACACAGGTTTTAAACAAGATATTTTCCCAAGAATATACATTTAAAATATATAAAAATATGCCACATGATAAAGAGAAATAAGACTCATTCATGATCTTCGCATTTAAAGGTATTTGTAAAATCTTCTCTGAAGGAAATGTGTTACAATTCATACTTCTCTTCTTGAAAGTAATCTGCATGATTGAGATATTCTTGAAGTTGATCATATTTCTGCACATACAATAAAAAAGCTAGTTATTTTACTCAAAACATTGGAGCTTGACCTTTTTAACCTATAACCACAGGAATGTGTGCTTTCCATAGTAATTGTGAACAAAAGTTATTTTCTTATGACTAGGAACTCAATTTTATTTTTTCGATACTGGGAATTGAACTCAGGACCTTGCACTTGCCAGGCAGGCAGTTCCACTATATCCCTGGCCAGGTACTCAGTTTTAAACAAATATTTTAACTCAAACAAGCATTAGACAGAAACAGTATTATTAATTTTGTAACTGTCATATAGTTTTCCTATAATTACACTTAGAATAAAAATATAGAGTAAAAACTTTAATAAATTACTCAACAAAATTTGTGAAATGCATATCAAATAGTCCACCAGTGACTGTTTAGATACAAAAATTTTACAAGGTAACTTTCCCTGTGCCTAAAGAGAATAATGTTTGGCAGTACTAATGACAATCAGTAATGAGTCTATAAAGAAATACAGTGTTATGAGGGTTCAGAAGACAAGTCATTGTTAGATGAGGTGATCAGATTTAGCAGACAAAAGGTTGAGATGGCAAAAGTTTTCTGTCAGAGATAAATGTTTATTCAACACTGACTTGACAAAGAAACAAAGGACTTTAATTGAAGGTTTGAGAGAGAGAGAGAAAGGGGGGAATGAATAAATTGAACCAAAGAGATAGAGGACAAGCATAAAAAGTACAAAATGACAGGTTAAGGAGTTGGGAAACAATTTGATAGGAAATGGGAAACACCAGTTGACTTGAAAAGTAAAAAGATTAAGAGTTAGGGAGGAAGAGTTCAAAAGAAAGAAAGAGGTATCTAATAATTGAAAGTTTTTATTTAATAATATTTATGCAACACATTCAAAATTTAACACGTGATATTCTTGTTGATGTATTTGCTAACTTCTTAGTGTTCTTGTATCTAGCAGGCTATCTCAACAATCCTATCAACTACCCAGGAAGACCCATCATCATATACACTATCTTCATAATAAAAAAGATAGAATTTTACCAGTGACATATTACAATATTTTAGAATGAGATGTGATTTACATTTATATTTTGGTTTTATAACAATTTTCATATCATTTGTTCTATTATTTATATTTGAGTTACTTCTATTTTACTTAAATATCGTTACATTAAAAAGTAGATAATCATAGATCAACTGTTAGGAAGAACAAGAACAATGCAGTCAAGTTAGGTCTTTGGGGAGACACACTGAGATAACCTGAACTAATGGAAGAAAAATATTTAAGGAACAGGTAAGGAAAAAAAGTGTGGAACACAAGCTGGAAGCAAAAAAGACAGGAATGAATAGTTTGTAGAAGACAGGAAGGATTTAAAATAGCTGGAAGGTGAGAGCAGAGTCCCTTAGGTAGGATCTGAGTGGCACTGAGCCCACTCATTCTCCAGAATTGGAGTAACTGTGGCCACAGAACTACAACTAAAGAAGATACACATGACAAAACACATGCAGTGATGTCACTCAAAGGCACGAACAGAGAGGGACAGATAACAGTGAGGATACAAATGTGAAATAACAAATTGAGAAATTTCACCAAAGCACAAAAGTACATATGAGTTTTTCGAATTCCTTTGAGAAAGCCTACAGACAAATATCTTTAATGAAGGTAACTTCAAAATGAAAATGCAGTTCTTTAACATTTTTGTGTGAAAAAGTATGTATTTCCTAAATAATATGATCTTGAAATGTCTTTAATGCCTAAATGCTATTCTTTATGAATAATATCACATTTGACTTTCCTTTCCTAAGAATATGTTTTACTCCAGATACTTTTTGCTGTCTCAAACCTTCTTAAGATTTCTGAGTCACATAATTCAGAAATAGTATTTTTGCAAGAAGTTTAATGTTTCTTATATATTATATGATGTATGGTCAGTGATTTTTCTAGACTTCATATACAATCTTTTATAAATGTGGTATACTAATAGGTTTTTCAACTCAACTACATGGTTGAGAACACTTAATGTCATCAATAACAGCACTTGAGGATTCAGCATCTGGGAAAATGAACGCTGAGGTTACTGGGTAAGTGACAGCTTATCCCAGAGCTAAATGCAAAAAAAAAAAAAAAAAAAAGTTGGATAAGTGTGGGGGAAGCATTTGAAGTAGATGTAAAAGCAAAGCAAAAGATAAAAACCTGAAGAAAGTAAAGTGAGAGAAAGAAGACAAGTATCAAGATGTCAGGACACGAAAGAGCACTGGGTGGTGGTTTGAGTGCGGGGCGGAGGGGGGGAGATACTGTCAAAAGAGAAATCAATCATGATGTCACTCTTTAGAATAGAGAATTTCACTAAACATGTCCTGAGAAATTCATATTATTCTTTTTTTCTTTCCCTCTGGTCATGAGTTTATTTGCTAAATTATCCTTTTTTATAAATCTTTTTTTACAAATTTCTCTTTTTTATAAATTTCCCTGTGACATTATTCAGGTAATGGATCTCGTTAGGTTCTTTTCTTTTTTCACTTTTTGCATAGTGGGGTTTGAACCAAGGACCTTCACACTGAGCTATATCCTCAGTCCTTTTTACATTAAACTTTGAAATGCAGTCTCTCTAAATCACTAATTTTCCCAGGCTGGGTTCAAACTTGTAATCCTCTTGTGTTAGCTTCCCAGAGTGCTGGGAAAAAAATCTATGTCTCTTAAACATTCATGTAACTAAATTTGTTTTAAAAGCCTGCAATCATATTATTCCTTCCATGTTTCATAAACAAAACAAAAGCTCTGCGAGCAAACCAGAGCTTATGAGCTGACAGCAGATCTTTGGGAATCCAGTGTACATTTCAAAACCCCTACTTTCTCCCTGATATCAAATTTAGTGATCAACAGGATATGGAAGAATCAAAAATCAGGCCTGTGGCCTGAACCTCTGCATTCCCCTCAATCTTCAGTTACTGTGCTCACTGCTCACCCCATGTCCTCAAGAAGAGGATGTGGGTGGTATTAGAACTGGCAGCCGAGATTCTTTCCTCTGATTGGCACCAGGTGCTTCTTCAGCTCAGAACACAAGAACTGTTCTAAAGAATAGGAAGCAGACAAGCACAGGTAAGTCCCACGTTCTGTTAAAGAAAATAAGGGGACTTAATATATCTAAGGAGTATTTGTAGAAATGAAAGGACAGAGGTCCTTCGTTAAGGGACAGCATTCTTGCTCATTGAAATTTACCTGATGAGTAGAGTGAATTCTTAGAACATCAGGGTCCTATTCAGGGAGGGATAATGATAAGCATGAAAAGAGTAGGTGGAAAAAGACAAAATTAAAAAAAACAGAGAAAAGAGATTTCCTTTTAAATATTACAGTCATTTGTATCTTTTTGTTGGTCATAATTAGGTTCCAGGACTACACAGAATGGGGGCAGTTCTTGTATTTCACCTTACCTTTTGAATCCAGCCACTTTGTTTTGACTGACTGAAAATTCTTTCCACTGTTTCTTTCACCTCTTCATTCTCAGCATCTTCTGTTTTTGCAATGGAGCAACATTCTTGGTAGAGCTTGAATTTAAAATGTTTCAGCTGATGGTAAGTTCTGGTTCGATTAGCACAAGTTCTGCCAACAAAAAACACCTAACCCAAGAAACAAACAATAATTTCACATATGAAGCGAATCATATAGTAATGTGTTGCAGACTTTCTTTAATAGAATCTAGCAAATGAATTATCAATTTTGTTTTAAATGTTTATATGATTCCATTACCTCTTACATCGTCAACAAAAACTGACTACTTTTTATGCTTCCAGTATTGAACTAGGCACTGGAGATAGATAAAGATTTACTTTGTTTATTAGGGATTTATAGTCTTGAGATTATAAAACAATGCAACAAATGCCACATATAAGATACTATCAACAGGCTAGTGAAGAACAATATCTAATCTAGAGAGAATGAAGGTTCCCCAAGTCTGTAATGCTTGAATTAAATGTTCAAAACACAGAGTTAGCCAAGCTTGGGAAGAAAGAAAGTTTGGTAAAGCAGAAAGACATACGTGAAAGCAAGAGAAAGCTGTACATTGCACGTACATATTCAATAATATTCAGCAGATGAGCCAAGAGTATGTTGCCAAAATCAATTTAAGTTATGGCACAATGACTGGCAATAGTCAGGGTTGAGATGTTTCCTTGTGAAGATGGTACGTTGGACAGCTGATAATCTTTCTGAAGATCCCCTGAAGCTGAAGAAAAGCATGTTCAGATTTCTGTTCATGCTTCTATGAAAATCTTCCTGTTTTTCAGATCATTAGAATATAGTATTATAATTTATTTGTTTCTTAAATTAGTTTTATCATTCTGATATTATTATTAAAGCAGTGCTGGTAGTAAAGAGCATAAAATAATTCGATAGCATAGAATATTTCCCTTAGAGAGAAGAGACACCATTTGCAGTGCCTTCTACGGGTTCCATGTATGTCTATTTCTGCCATCAAAATCACAAGTGTGAGAAAAGTCTTCTATAACTTTTCTAGATAAAATACAGTCAATTAAATATTGCAATTTGTAGCTTTATCATATTATAATCTCTATTTCCACAAAATAAGAGAAATTTTAAATTGGAGCTCCAGGGTTATAGCTCAGTGGCGCAGCACTTACCTGGCATGCGCAAAGGCCTGAGTTTGATACCTGCCCCACCCACCCACACAAAAAAAGCAGAAATTTTAAGTAGGAGTAAAAAGGGAAACTTATTTAAAATTCTTATTTTAATTTTTCCTCTATGAAACAAAAGTAACATTTGAAAATATTTCTTTCCATTTTTAATTTCTTTTCTCTTAGCATCCACTTACCTTTTAAAGGTGATAACCCCCAAATTATCTTTAGAATAGTCTCACTCTATTTTTTCCTAAAAATGTTTGCATGTGTCACAGCAAGGCCTAATTTTATATGGAAGAACCCTAGTGTTGTGAGGTTTCATGGAAAACAATAGATGTATGTAATAGTTTTAATATTCCTCACTCCATCCCTGTTTTTATGTGTATTGTTATCATCTGTATCACATGAATTGATGAGTACATTACAGAACAGCTTATACTGCAGTATTTTACTTGTATCAAGTACTGAAACAGATGAAACTATTCTGTGTTTATAACAATTTCCTTACATGTGTTCAGAAATGTACTCAGAGCTACTTCTACTTATCTAGTTACCTTTTCATACAATAAGGAAAGCTGTGTGAAAGAAAGATACTATGAAAAATACTAAATTTTGCCTGAGTGTTAAGAAAGAAGAGAAGCCGAGTGATATATAAATGATGACTGACTTATGCAGGTTTAGCACATTCCCAGATAAATATGAGGATAACTGAGTCCCCTGTTATCAATGTGAACCAAGTGAGCCTATATATTCAGAGATATAAAGCAAGAGGATGCTAAATTGAAAGGTATAAGGAGTCTGACTTGTAATTTATTAGATACATCATGTTGATGTGTAAATTACTATGAGTTAACAAACTAAGGCATGGAAAAGAACATGAAATATGTATTATGGAGACATGGTAATATCCAGCTAACTAAAGATAACTTTTTGAGTTATTTATGTAGGTTCTCATTTATTTGCTATTTATATCTTGTAGTTTATATTTGGAGTACCTGATTATTACATTCATCATGGGGGGTATGTGCACATACCTAGTATATTTTAATTCTTGTTATGTCCCCTTCCCCTCCTCTCCCTTTCACTTTCTTCCAACTCTTCGTCCTCTATCCATTTATGAAAGATCTGTATCTCTGTTTCCAATACCTATCTTTCAGTTTGCTCTTTATTTATACTTTGGGTTTACTGTATAAGAGAAAACATATACTATTTAAGCTTGCCTGATTTATTTTTTAAATGTATACAGTACAAATAGAAGGATTCTCAGGGAAAGGAAGGGATGGAAAATGTTTGTTTTCTCTTTCTAAATCTGAGGAAACAGTGCACTAGATTGAGCAAGGGATTCAATTTCCTCTTGACAGCTTTTTTTTTTAATGTGGACATATTAACATTGCCACTTGCCTCAAAATTGGTACCTCTTCCCATGACATCTTAAGCATCTTAAAGAGTCCAGACAGGCTTTGTGCAAAACTAAAAATGGACAAATTCTTGTTTTCAGTTCTCTCAGCTGCCTTTCAAGCTTTACTTTCCTCTTCGCTCCAGGCACATTCCCTACCATCTGTGTTCTCAGAATTCACTTCAATCTGATTGTCCGAGGTATCTAATCTCAGTGTGTTCCCCACTGTAACTAAATTATTCGTATCAACTGTATTTTTATTAAAGCATATGTTTAAAGAAGCTAATCTCTGGTAACTGAAGAAAGTTTGGTTGTTAAACAAGTTCACCGTTATGTAAATTCTTTTAAATTATTATGTGAACTTTAAAAAGAGCCCTAATCCCAGAGTGTCACATTTAAGGTACTATAAGCAGCACCACAAAATGGAGAATTATGTTCCAAAATAATCTGAGGGTAGGCATGGAGCTTGGCATAATTCTTTTTCATGTTCTGGATTATATATGTTTGTTTTTCCCATTTCTTTACATACATACATTGACACTGTACTTCAATAGACTATAATAAATATTAATAAGTGATTCTTCATTTTAAAGAAAAATATTATTAAAGAAATTCAATCTTATTTGTTTTACATAAACAACAATCAGGTAAAATGTGCATGTAATTAGATACACAAATCCACATTTTAAAACTTCTTATTTCACTATCATCTAGCATTATTTGACATTATACTTTATCATTGATTTAAAAATACTTCGCTACCTGAAGAGCTAGCAACCTTCATCTTAAGGTTGTTCTGTCTATGTGCATTTAAATAGAGAATATGCATCTTTCCATATATTTAACTTTAATGTTTTTTCCATTGTGCTATGGCTATATCGATACTCTTATTTTATGTGATTTCTTTCACTTTTCTAGATGTTTGAATTAACTATCTATGTAATTTTTTGTAGTACCAGGGATTGAACCCAGGCCTCTGTGTACTGTGCTGCACACCCAGTGACTCTTCCTCAGTCCTTTTGAGAAAGGGTTTTGCTAGGTTGCCCAGGCAGGACTAGAACTTGTGAGCATTCTGCCTTCGCCTTCCTCAGAGCTGGAGTTTAAAGTGTGGGTGCCTGGCTTATCTGGACCCATTCTTCCTTGATAGGAATATCAAAGCTCTAGAAATCGTTTTCTAAATGTATTTTTCTCTCCAGGATAAGTAATACAAAGCAAAGACTACAATTGTAAAGCAATATATTGGATCTCTATAACTATACACAATCTTTTAGTGTTACATTACTTTTGCCAGGGTTCTAGGGGTCTTATCTTTAAGAAGTCATAGATCATTTTTTATAAACAATGGGGAAATTGCTGAGCAAAATATGTTTTCATAATAGCTTGAGAAACAAAACATTAAAGTCCAGTTGTGAATTCATTATACAAATACAAATTTGCTAAGTGATTCTTGCAATCCATATTGTAGAGGATCTAGCATGTTAACAACCAAGAGTGCTGAGGAATCCCTACCCAGGACAGCAGAAGAATTTAAATAGAAAGCATTTTCACCTTAATAAACAGGGAGTATTTAGGGACAACTGTGTCTCTGCATCTTTCCAAACACACGTACCCGTCATGGACAGTTGGCAACTGACTGCATAAGGGTTGGTAGAAGACCCAGCTCCAGAAACCTGAGATCTGTGTTGACTTTCTCCAGAAATGAAAAGTATGTGAAATGCTGTATGTTTTTCCGTCTGTGCAGGGTAAGCTAATAATCACGGTGCTCTCAGGGTAAGAGAACAACCACGGAGGACATAGAAAGCTGTCTCTCTATTAACCTGTGCAGTCACCCAGGTTTGGAGAAAGACTTGTTCCCTTTTTTATCCTTTGCCTTGTGGGGAGCAGCTGAGCTGGAGATCAACCACGTATTTGGGGCCAGAGCAAGGCCAGTACTGAGAACAGGGAGCTCCAGAGGTGAGCCATGTCAACAAGTTGTTGGGACTAGAGCAAGGCCAGGCCAGCAGGTACCATAGAAAGCTTTGAGAATGTTCCGCTTTCAGTGTTCTGAGCAAAACACAGAGACCTTACACTTTTGACATCTTTGCAAGAGGCAGACCATGCTGGGTTGTGGCTGCCTCACCATCGGAAAAGTCGGGTCCCACTGAATCACAGCTTTCCTTTTAGTTTTGTCCTTGATTTCTTTTCTTAATCTCCTGTTACCCCTTCTCAGGAGTCACCCCTTCTCAGGACCCTGCAGTCTGGATGGGTTATGGCACTCCCTTTCTGAAGTTACATCTGCTTCTTATTTTTAAAAATCTCTTTCAACCACTTCATGAACGATGAATGGAGCTTTTTAGTGGCTAACAAAATCAAGTTGACCATGGAGGTTGCTGAGCCTATTCTCTAGAAGTAGACTTGTCCTAGTCCCCTGTACCTTGAATATTGCCTTTTGTCTTTATTTATACCCCACAGTCCCCCATCCGTATGTGGGGGGCCTTATCAGCTCCTGGCAATGGATAAGTACTCACCATAGGAAACACTCAATAGAAATACTTTTGCATTACTATATAAATGTAGTGTTTTATAAAGATTAAATAAATAGTACTCATCATCTCACATTTCACACTGTATCATTTCACATTGTATTGCTGTGCTCTTGTCTGTCAGACACATATTTTTCAATATTCTCTATTCATTCAAAATTATTACTATTTCAAGTACGAGGTGATTACTCTAGACTTTTACACATTTCTGATATAGTCTAAGTTAAAGCACAATGTTCTTTGAATTCCCTCCCAGTAGAATACAAAGTCATTTTCAACTGCTTATTTATGGACTACCACTTTGGTAGATGATGTATCATAAAATTGTCCCCTTCACAAATTCTCTTTTGAATGCGAAGGCAAACCCTACTTCTCTTGCCCCAGTGATCTTTCTCATCATTCTTGTTTCCTTCCCTCTTCACAATGTGGGTGATTATCTCTGCACCTAACTATCTATCTACAGAAGATGCAGTAAGTAAAGCACTGAATTAGAAATCAATACGCTATATAAGGCATAATTTTCACATTGAAAACTTGTACTTTCATTATTTCCCATCCTAGAGTTTTCTCTATTTGTAAAACTTATGGTTATTTGTGAAAGCTTATAAACTGGGAATTTATAAATATTTAAAACTAAATTAGAGAAAAATATGTACCTGTTTATCATGTGACATGAAGTCATCTGTTTTCATAGTTCTGATGTTGTACAACTTTCCTGATAAGCGCACTGAATATTTACAGTAGCGATGTAATCCACAAGCCTGGCAAGAACAGTTTGCAGGATTCGTCGGATGGATACTTATATCAGAGTAGCTTTCTACTCGCTCCTGAAAACAATTTTAAAATATTAGGAAGCCTAAAGTAAAAATACAGTACAGTAAGAACCTAAGCAAATTAAAACTGACCTCAGACTCACAACAGAAAGTGATAAACACAAAATGTGAACTTCCATTACTTACCATTTTCCTTTTAAGACTGTTAGGTGAGAAACCCTTAACAATCATAGAGTACACCCTTTATTAGAGATCATAAAGTAGAATTCCAGAGAATAGCATAAAATCCAGTAAGTCTGGTAAAAAGATATATTCCAAAACTGATAGAATTACAAAGTCTTAAGGTAGAGAAGAAACAATGTTTCCTAAACTATTTTATGGAAATCAAATACCCTAGGAAGAATAAAAAGGATTTCATGAAAATGAGTCTCAAAGTAAAACAAAAATTTGGAAAGCACTACGTTCTATTTTGCCACAGTATAAATTCACAATTTAATACGCCCGAAAAGTCCTTTAGTAAAGAAGTAAGTTGGACCAACTGTTTCTCAAGCTTGTTTATGTAGTACTTTTTTTCTGAAATAACAACTCTCTGAGACACATATCCTCCCTTTTAAAAGATGGCCTAAGCTCTAGAAATGTTCTAAAGTTATCTATCTCTTAGCACCACTTAATTATTAAACAGCTTAGTATGTATCAACACTATAAGTAGTTTTAAGAGAAGATAAACAATTTGATTACTAATAAAGAGAAATGCTAATACTTCAGAAGACATGTGATTGACTGGGTACTGATACCCTAAGAAGTCCCTCTGTTCCCCTATCAGAGATTTAAAAATAAAAAATATACCTTATATTGCTCTTTCCAACGACTCCTAGAAAATAAATTCTCCAGTCGGGGCTGAACAAAGCGACTATCCAAATAATGCAGAGACGTCAACATATCTTGTGCATATGATTTTCGCCTGGTACCATCTGTTCAGAAGATCAACATAATAATAAAAGTAATCACTTAGTCCATGTAAAACATTGAAAACTTAATGATATCTTCTCATAGTTTTAAATGGTTGGTTGGAAATAATTTAAATTGGAAACAAGTTAATGACATAAAATATTATTTCATTAGCTCATGACGAGGAAAGTCAGGAACTACAGTTCCCTTTTATTGATACTTCTCAAACTTTAACATTATTTAGAAGAAAAACCTCGCCAAGTTGTTCTCATACACAACTAACACAAATTAACCAACTGAATTCTCAATAAAATTTAAAGTTGACTAGGCTTCTAAGGTTCTCTGCAATTGGCTCCATTCTACTAATTCAGTGTCAATTTCTCAGGTCAACAAATCAGAATCCTCTTTTCTCCTGATTTGGTTCATATTATATTTCTGATTTGGTTCATAGTATATTCTCTATTTACAAATATCTGTCATAGTCTGTGAAGTTAAGCTTTGATTTTCTGTCTTTTCTTAATGAATTTGATCTAGTTACCTTGTTTCTTTAAATCATTACAAACAAGTTTATCATGGCTTACAAAGAACTCATCTCTTCTCCCATTTCCTCAATTCATTCCACTGCAGCTACAAGGCCTTCTAATAGCTCTTGAATACACTAAACGTATCCTTTCCTAAGGGTTTTAGAACTCATGCCATAGTTCTATGTATTACTTCTTCTCTCATTTATGTTTCTGTTTCAAAATTACTTCTTGAAAGACATCCTTTGATAATATATAACATAAACTTTAGATTTCCTTAATATTATCTCTCTCTTCATCTTACTCTACTTTTTCCAAGAAGTAGTTTAAATTGTATTACAATATATTATTTGTTTAGTCATTTATTGTTTGTCTCTTGCATTAAGACTTTAAACATGAAGCCAGGAGTCTCAGGTCTTAGTCTTGTAATATTATCAGCCCTTAAAGTAATGCCTGGTCCAATTGCAGGTATTTAATAATTATGTGTTTAATAAATTATGAATAAAATCTTATTTTGGCACTTAAGTAGGTATTTAACAAACCAGATTCTGTGCTGGATGCAAAGAACACATTTATACATCATGTATAGTTCTTCCCACACATAAGGGAGGAAAATAAAAATGCATTTTCAACACAATACAAAAGTGTATTATGTAAGTGCTGCTACCATCGCATTAGGATGGTGGTATGAATCAGAAAGTGAAAAATATTACTTGAGTGGGTCACAGAGAGTTTTCATAGTAGCAATGTTTTACATCTTACCTAAAAAATTTGAAGTAAAAAGAAATTACATTCTAGAATAAACAAAAGCCTTAAAATATAAAATTGCATGTATATTCTGATAAAATTTAAAGAACTTACAGAAGTTAGACTGCCTAAGGGAACTAAAGTATTTTGCTGACTTATATATTGGAGCAAGGCCCTGTACATACTTACCTCCTACACATCTCAAGAAACACTAGGATGTTTTTTTTTATAGGAATGTATTATTGGTATGGTTTATCCTCAAAGGAACTAGTAAGTCTTAAGGATGGTTCTCCATGGTTTTGTTTGTTGCTTAAAAATTGGAAAAAAAAAGTTCCAAACATGCTATTCACTTACCATACAATGTTCTTAGAAAAGAGTCATCTAAAGCATTGATCAGAAGAGCCTTTATCACTCTTTCAAAGTGAGTATAATGGTCACTAAAAGAGTCTGAAATTAATTTAAAACAAGTATTAGGAGCTAATAGATAAAACAGATCACTAAATGTAATAGGTTTCTTTTACAATATGAAGAAATTAATACTATAAAAAGCTAAAATAGCTTAATCATCCTCTAGGTGTCCTGGTGACTTGTGTGGTCATTGAGCAGATCTTCTTTTTCCAAATTTTCTGGCATCTTGTTCAATTTTTCTAGTTACTATTTCAAATTTTCACTTCCTAAACTTACTAAGGAAAAGTAGCTCAGGGAATAGTAAGATATATGCTGTAAAGCTATCAAAATCAACTGAACAACTGGTGTGATAGCCATAGGAATAAACTCCAAAGACAGATTAATATGCATTAATCTGTAAAGCTAGTTTCCCTGATATTCTTAAAGAAACTGCTACCCTAGTCAAAATTCTAATGGCTATAAAGATTCCATTTCTCTTTATGATGCCTTGGATTTGAAATTTGTTACATTAATTTAGAAAGACTGTGTTTCTTCCCTGTCCCACAGCATCTACATAAGACGGTTTTTCCATTTACCAGTATCAGAGATGAAATCGTCTGTTGTGACAGGTCAAGCAGTGACACATGACCATTACTTTTGAGTGAGGGTTTACTACTGCTGTGGAAATGTTCCCTTATCAAATACGACCCATTTCTCAATCCAAACAGTCACCACAGAGTATCTGTCCTGCTTTGGGTACCTGTGAAGATATATTAAGGGAAGCCTATTTATGTCCAGAAATGTGGAGATGTTTATAAGGGATTAAAGCAAAGTAAGACTTATTATTATCAACCAAGAGGATATTTGGCTTCTTTCTAGCTCAAGTCAAAAGATGGGATTTAACATAGAGTGACCTTTCTACTTCTATTTCGGTTAATAAAAGGATAATACATCTGTTTTTCAGACTTCAGTAAAAATTACTGTTGGTGTTTTCTAAGAACATAACTATGAAGCTGCTAAAGTGATCAAAATATACTAGCAAAAGTAAATAATAACAGATAACTTGCATGGAGACCCCTGACTTCAGAAAGCCTACCATCATTGAAAAGAAAAATGATCATGGCCACCAATGAATGTAATATTTTCTTCAAAATTAGAGCAAAATTGGGAAATGAAATGCAGTAATACTTCAAAATGGTTCAATTTTGACTAGACTTTCAATAAGCTCTGGATATAACATAACATGTACACAAAACATTGTGTTAAACTTATTTAAATATATTCTAACATTTCCTAAAGTGGGTTAGCAGGAAACTATCCTGGGACAATTGGATTTATATTAAAGAAAGCCAAATTCTTATTCTGTGTACCCATCAAACAATTTTTTACTCTACTAAATATATCACTTTTAAATGCATCAATGTTTAGTTACTCATCTGCTATAGAGTTTTAGAAAATTTTGTTTTGCTTAAGTCTCATAGTGCTTCTTTACAATTGGGAGGAAAAGGACAGCAGAAATCAGAATTACTTGAAGAGCATTTTCCTAATCACAGGACCATCTTCTTCTGCATTAGAATCTCTTTCAAAAAGATCAGGAAGAAAACCTTTTTTTAATTATCCTTCAGTGGATAGGTGAGTGGTGATAACGCTAAATTCTCCAGTTGAAAAATAATATTATCATTAGGCAAGTATACGACAGCTATTATTCTATTTACGTGCATTGATTCATTTTTCACAGTAAGCCTAAAAGGTACTATTACCCCAGGTTTTAATAGACAAAATGAAAGGAATGATAAAAATTTTTTTCTAGTTAAGAATTGGAACCAGGCTAGAATTCATGCAGTTTGCTTGTGGATTTCACATTTCCTTTCCCTAAACAGATGTTATGCATGATAATCAGATTTCATATTATTTTTCAAAATACAGGCTAGACTTGGATGATGAACTGGAAAAAATTAAAATTAAAATTTATCATCTTAAAATCATAAAAAATTCTCCAGTGATAACCTCAAGTTATGCAACTTGATAAAGATAGAATTTAGAACTCAGACCAACTTGAGGGTTTCTTTCAGTGTTCTAATCCCTGCATTGCATATGATTCTGTGACATATTGTAAGTTTAACCCCCCTATATTTACTCTTAAAACTGAAAAAGGTTAAAGGGAAAAATATTTGCATAAATGCATCATTTCAATTTTTCTAAAATATTCAATTACATTTCCTGTGCCTCACTTGACAGACTAATTGTTCTCTGCTGATTTCCATGCATCCTTTATTATATTTTAATTTTACACATACAACTAAGGTTTTGCTTCAGTACCACTCATCTTTTGTGATTTGACAGTCATTCTCATGCAATACTACACTATGTTACTCATTGTAACTTTATCAGTCTTTTTATATTTGTGTGTTTTTTTTTAATTTTTATTTTTGGTCACTTTCGTTTTTATTGGTACCAGGGATACAACTCACAACTGCCTGCTTGCAAGGCAGGCACTTATGCTGCTGAGCTAAATCCCCAGCCCCTGTCTTTTTGTATTTGGTAGGGAAAATTCTTTCAATTCAATCTTTGTTTTCAGAATTTATTTTCATATATTTTCTCTTTTAGGTGAATTTTATAATTAATTTGCAAGATTAAACAAAAAAAATAATATCAGCAGGAAAAAATGAAACCCTTTCCATGTCGTTAGGGGGGATGTAGGCTAGTATAACCACTATAAAAATTAGTATATAATTTCCTCAAAAAATTAAAAATAGCACCTCTATTTGGTCTAGCTATACCTCTTCTGAGTATGTTCCCAAAGGATTTAAAGACATCATATTTCAGTAATATATGCATACCCATACTTATAGCAGAACTCACGATAGTGAATCTCAGAAGCAGTGTATGTCTATTAACAAATGCATAGATAAAGCAACTGTAGTATACATATATAATGGAGTATCACTCAGTCTTAATGAAGGATAAATTTGAGTTATTTATAGGAAAATTGATGTACCTTAAGATCAAAATGCTGAGTGAAATAAATAAGACACGGAAGTTAGATACCGCATGTTTTCCCTATCTAAAAAATCCAAAGTTTAAATAAAGAGTAAAACAAAATATAGATGATATAAAAAATGAAGACAGATTAGGGATGAGAAAGGGATCTGAGGATGTGGAAAAAGGGAAACGAGGGGAGGCAGAAGGGAAGTAAAAGGATCAAGATACTATGTATATGTGCCAATTCCCCACAATAAATGTATTTTTGTATCACAAAATATACTAATGAAGAGAAAAATGAATTTCAGAAGAAACAATCTGTATTATGCAAAGAATAGTTCAGAACTATGCTCTTTTTTCTATTTATTCATTTTTTTTAGAGTAAAGTTTATTTTTGCACCCACAAAGCCATACTTTTTATGATTAGGATTAGAAATGTGCCAATGTACATACAATTTTTCCCGATTATACCTTCTAAGTATTTATTGCTAGTATTGAAGAGAACTATTGAGTTATGTGACTCTGGTCATTCTTCTAAGATCTTGTACTAATTTTAAAAGTTAAATTTTCTTGCCTATGTGTAGGAGATGAGTTTTCTGGGGCACTATAGAACTGAAGACACATATTGTTAAGGGACTCCTGGTCATTGTATCTGCTTTTCTCTCTATTCTGATCTTAGTCAAGCTTATTTAAGGAAGTGAAAGAAAGCCTGGTATTTTGAACTTAGAATGATGTTACTCTATTGTAAGTGGGAGGATATCTGTATTGAAAAAGACTATTTGAATATAATCTGACATGTTGGTATGCATATATAAATATACCCACATAAGCTGTCTCACTTATTTAACCAATGATGCAAAAAGGAAGGGATATGAGTATTTTGAGAATAAGAGTTATATCTTTCCCCAGTCTGTTCTCTTTATATGGAAGGGAAGGGAAAATCTGTTGAAATAGAAAAGTAAGTCAGATTTCTGTTCTGCCTCTGCCTTCTTGCACTAGGCTTACACATTCATTCCAAAAGAAAATACATCAGTAATCTATATGCTTCTGCTAAGTGAATATTTACTTTTCTATTCCAACAGATTTGCCCTTCCCTTCCATATAAAGAGAACAGACTGGGGAAAGATATAACTCTTATTCTCAAAATACTCATATCCCTTCCTTTTTGCATCATTGGTTAAATAAGTGAGACACTTACAGCTTATGTGGATATATTTATATATGCATACAAATATGTCAGATTATATTCAAATAATGTCTTTTTCAATACAGATATCCTTCCACTTACAATAGAGTAACATCATTCTAAGTTCAAAATACCTTAACTGAAAACCCATGTAATACAACTAATCTGGGGTAGTGGTACAGGTAAGGCCCTGGGTTCAATTTCCAGCACTAGAAAAAGAAAACAAAACCAAAAAACACAAGAATATACCCAATTTACTGAACATATAGCTTAGTAACACAGAACACTAGAGTATCACTTGTTTATCTTTATTTTTGTGTGGATGACCTGGAGCTGAAGCTTTAAGCCACCGCCTGGCATCCCAAGAGAGTATCGTATTGCTTATTACTAGCCCAGGAATTAAAATAAAAATTCAAATGAGGTTTTCTACCAAATGCATTTAATTTTTGCATCATTGTAAAGTAAAAATATTTTAGGTAGAATTGTAAGTTGGGAGTCATCTAGATTTACATTTCTTGTTTTGCTTTCATATCTACTTGCATTGTTTAAGATTCAGAACAAATGTAAAAGAATATTGTATTTCATTTTAATATCTCATTTTAAAAAGAACACAGTACTTCTATGACTTGACACTTCATATATATGACACTTCTATGACATTTCATGTAATTACGAGGTTGGCTCTTGACTTAAAATATCATCATATAAAGGACAAATGCTCCTATTACTAACTTCTACCTACTTGCTTTTTCTAAGGCAGGTATGGACAGTGAATGCTACCAAATACCTTTTTACAATCTCAAAAAAACTATGATTTTTTTCTTTTGATATATTAATATGATTGTCAATAGATGATTTTTATATAGTTCTAAAAATGGTTATGTTTATTTTT